GGTGATGCAACTTTCGGCAACATGGCAGGTTCAGCAAATAACAATTCTGAATGTAGACCCGCGATAGTAGGATCCGGCTCTAAGTCTAAGTACGGTACCCATCTGTTTTCAGGCCATCACATGGTTTCTGTTTAAGGACAGCAGAGCAGGCGTTGACCTACCTAAACAAGTACAACGGACCGAGCCTAAGTATCCCTAAGCCCCAAAACCCTAAAGCCTTAAACCTGAACACTAGAACCCTAAACCCGAAAACCCTAGACCCTAAAGCCCTAAAAATCCTAAACCTCAAATCCTAGACTCGTTTCCTGAACTCTATATAGGGCCTTGAACAACCAGCAGTACTGACACCTAGAATATATTTGTATAGTACAAAACCCAAGAAGCCTTGGTGCACTTATTCAGGTTTCTATATGCGACCCAAGCTCCAGATGCACATGGTTTTTAATATCCCTGAGCTCTGAATGCAGGTACCGCAACATGGTTGTTGTGGAGCGCGAGTCTGGGCGAGCCACTCGAAGAAAGCCCCTAGACCTTAAACCCAAAACCCTAAACCAGCCCCCCCTCCCCCCCGGCACAGTTAGGACACAAATCGCTCTACCCCTTTTGGGCCTTCTGTCACCCCACGTCCAAGACCCAGTAGCCTCCAAATAATAAATAATAAATATAGGGGCCTTATTACTTACAATAGGGTTTTTTGGGGGGCGTATTTTCTACTAGAATCCCCAAAATAGTATAGGTTAGTATGAAGGCCTCTATCTTAACTCCGAGATCCCTGGGGGCCCTGGGCCCTGTAAGCCTGAAACCTTGAACAGTGCGAGCACTTGCCCTGTTTTACCCTAAGACTCCAAATAGCCCAAAGGCCCAAAGTAGGTACTATTTATAGACGTTAGACCCCAAAGTGGGTACTATTTGTATACTTGGAGTCCTAGGGTTAAGCTGCACCAGTAGAGAATGGCGATGTGCGCCCAATCCGGCTTGGTGAAGATTTTGTTGGCCGAGAGATCTGGGCGATTCCCTTCTTGGTGTCAGGTCTCTGTTCCGCTTCCAACTCACTATTCATCAGACAGCATCAATTGTTCTTGGTTTTCTTCCGCTTGCACCCAGATTCTGCAGAGCATGCTCAAGGAGCAGATCTCGGTTCGCCTGTATAAGGACCATGCTTTTTTCGGGTTCAGGGTTTAGGATTAGGATTTCGGGTTGAGGGTTTAGGGTGCTTGGCAGTCGAAGGGTCTTCCGGGATTCGGACAGCATGCTTGGACCGGCAGAATCGAAAGACCTTGACAGGTCCTTCACAGAAGCAAGCGAAAAAAACAACAGTAGCAGGAATTCACATGGCTTGCAGCGGTCGCTTCTGTCTCAGGAAGAATGCTACCATCACAACAACAGTCACAACTTATCATGGGAGTAGTCACCATTGGGTTCAGGGTTTAGGGTTTAGCTTTTCAATAACATAGAATGTGCCACTACTTGTTAGTGCTCGTAGACAAGCAGCATCTGATCCTGGCGCGCACTGGTGATCGACAGATCGAAAGTATGACCTTGCAAGTATACAATGCAGAGTCAGGGTTCAGGGCTTGATATTTCCTGTCGCTGCCTGAATAGTCAAAAAATGAAGGCCCCTTCGCTCAAGTCCAGGAAGACCAGGAGGGAAGTTCTCCAAGTTGGGGTCACTTGTAGGGTCCTTTGTTTATAACGGGTGCCGCACTGTATTGGTGACCCAAAAAGGGGCCCTAAGTTTAGAGAACTACCCAGAAGCCGAGCCCCCACCATCCCCAAATCCCGGAAGCCCTTGAAGGTCGTGGGGCTTCGGGTCTAGCAATCACACTGGGCTTTGAGATTTGCTGGCAGGGTTAAGAGTTCAGGGTTTAGGCTTCCAGGGTTTAGGGTTGAGCCTTTAGGGTTTGTTGAGACTTTGGGGTTTAGGCTCTAGGGGTTTAGGGCCTTCGGGTTTAGCGTTTAGGGTTTGTTGAGAGGTTAGGGTTTAGGGGTTGTGGGTTGCTAGACGGATGTGGCAAACCCCACGCTGGAGGACAGCCGGAACTACTTCTTCACGAAGCACAAGTCCATTGCGGTGCCTCTGTACTGGAGGCAGCGACCTTTGATACGACTGGAAATGTCGATATCTGTAACACTAGCGCCTGCAGCAAAGCCAAACTTGAAATGCTAACCCATATCAAAAATGATACGCAGGAACGCAAGAAACAGTGTACGTACGAGAGTAGGAGTTGCCATGCTGGTGTTAGTGACAGGGTCGCAATAGTAGTCGTCGCGGGATGACGACGGCATACTGCTGGAACCGCCCAAATCCAGAAGGCTGTGATCCCCCTAAAGCCCGAAACTCAAACACCAAGGATGGACACCAAGAATGCAACAGTGGCTGAGCGACAGCTGCCAGGAGCCTAGACACCCTTTGCTTAGGTTTGGGGAGTTTAGGGATTGTAGGGGCTGTTTTGTGTTTAAAGCCTTGTACTAGCAAGTGCTCTAGAATGTTACCTCGCGGTTGGTTTCTACTGGCCTGGTGTACTGCCATGTAGGAAGATATCCGCTTGCTGGGCTAGGGAACTCAGCAGCTGCGTTTAGGGTTTATGGTGTTGGGTTTAGGGTTTGCCTTCGAAGTGGGTCATAGGCTGATGGCTTGCAATGGCACTAATGTAGTGGAGTCCGCAGTGAATCCGGCCTTCCGGGCGGATGTGCCCGTTGCGGGACTGTGAAAAGAAGACGAGTTTGAGTCCGAAATGTGCAGCTCCCTACAGCGGGGCCACAGAACCGCCCGGCGTGCCTCCAGGCCCGCCTTGCGCTCTTAGCAATCTAATCTCTTCACTCTCAACGCAAGAGCCCCATAGTGTCACTGCAGGAGTTACCTGATGCAGTGCAAGTTATGAGGGATTAACCACTCCAGCTTTAAGCCAGCCCAGGCAACACATCCCAAGAAGCGAAACTTGTTCACGAAACTAAGCAGAATCCCCACGAGTGCCAACCTTGGCTTGACTTAGCAGTGAAGTGGTGAATGCCGAGTGCAGCTTCCAAGGAGGTTGAGTTGTGAATGTTGCATGCTGAACTTCCCAACTTTATGATTATCGAAATATAAGGCAACATAAGGAACAGGTCGCTGTTTATCGTCTCCAGGCCGCAGGCAGTGGCTGCTAAAAAGGTAATGTCGCCGCAAAAGCACCGCCAAAATGCAGGGATATCCGGAACCCATAAGCACTAAATCCCCCAAGCCCAAAACCCTCAACCCCTAAGCGCTAAATGCAAAATATATACATATGCATGTGTATGTGTATATATATATATAGATATATATACATATATATATATATAGATATGTATGTATGTGTGTGTACAATGAGAGAGAGAGAGAGAGAGAGAGAGAGAGAGAGATTTTTGATCCAGGTTCGGCCGTCCCCCCACCCCTCCCCCCCCCTGTGGTGTGGTGTGGTGTGGTGTGGTGTGGTTGTGCCCACGCTGTCCTCCACCCCTGGTTGTGCCTGCACCTGCTCCTGTGGGGGAGAGGGGGAGGGGTGGGCGGGGAGGGGTGGGGGGCTGAACCGAGTCCCGCCCTTCCTTCTCGCCCGCCCTCCCCCCCCCGGTGTGGTTGTGGGTTGCTTCCCCTCTCGCTGTGGTGTGGTGTGGTTCGGGGTTGGGTCAGCTTGGGGTAGTTGTTTTTTGTGGCGTGGGCCATCTATATCTATCTATCTACCTATCTATCTATCTACCTATCTATCTGTCTATCTATCTATCTATGTGTCTATCTATCTATCTATCATATTTCATTAAATCAGTAAGCATACATACAGCCCTAAGCGCCGAACCATAGGTTGAGCTCACTGCAGAGCACCTTCCGTGGCCTGGATGCTGGCTTCTTCGCATGCATGATCCTCGGGGCCGGGGCCCAATTTTACATTGCAGTACATTATAATATAAATATTAGTATACATATACATATATATATATATATAGATAGATAGATAGATAGATAGATAGACAGACAGACAGACAGACAGACAGACAGACAGACAGAGAGAGAGAGAGAGATATATGTATATATATTTTTTTCTACATACATACATATATAGATATATACATAATATATATATATATTCTCTCTCTCATGGCTTTTCAGGCCAGTATAGGCAACCTGCAAGGTGTCTGAAGTATATTGGAGTAGCGTTCTGTAAGGACTGTAGGGCTATAGGATGAGTTTCTCCCTCCATAGCCATAGTATATACTTGGGCCTTAAAGCATTTATATAGGAACCCCTTAAAACCTATAAGTATATACTAACCCTAAACCTAAACCCCTACACCTAAACCCTAAACATACAGGTACTTGGAGCCTTTTGGTCTGTGAGCCTAGGCAGTTGTTCTCCTAGGACCAGGACCATGGCTCCCAGACACACAGAAGTCCAGGGCTAGGGTGTATAGGGCTTTAGGGTTTAAGGTAGTTGGATACAGGTTCGGCGTGCTTTGGTCTCGATCGAGGCGTTTTTGGTCGGGTTTTTTGGTATGGATCCCTTCTTGCTAGCCGAAACTGAAGTTCCCGACTGGTAGGCAGCACTGCGATGCCTCGCCCTTTCAGCGCCACCACAATCTTCAGTCAGGCCTCAGGCGCCGACAACATGTCACCCTTAGCCAACAAAGACAACAGGTTGCTACCTTGAGCTACCATTCCTGTTTTTTGTAGGGTTCCTAGCAATTCTACATAAAGCTCATGATAAGAACCTGCAAAAAAAGTCGGTTGTGGGTTAAGCTGGGTTTAGGATTGTCTTTGTAGCCCAAGCCCTTGTTTGCAGTGGGTCTTTGCTTGTCGACGTAGCATCTTGGCCCAATGCTGGGCATGGCGACTTCTCGCGAGGTGCCTTCGTTCTGAACCATCCTTCTGGCCGGCAGCTTTTGGCGCTGGGTAGTATAGGAACCTGATTAAGAAACCCTGAGCTTTTTTATTGGGGATCTGTCTACGAATCCTCTTGATCGGGTTCCTACAGCAGCAGATCCGGGAAGATGACGATAGCAGACCTTGAGCCTCTGATGCAGCAAGCGCCCGACCAGCAGATGATGGTCACGGAGGATCAGAAGCAAGAGTTGGCCTGTATTCTGTCCCGGCCCCTCTATACCTGCCTGTCCTGCGGGGTCACAATGTCAGACAAGGCCGAAAGGCTGCGACATGGTTACTTTACAGAGATAGGGGCCTCGGTGGGGGAAGACGAGATGGGCTGGCCTTCTGTGGAGCCATACATGGTACACTACGAGGGCTATCCCCGCACTGGGGGCAAAGCCGCGACCATGTCTGAAATTGAGTACTTCCAGCGTACCGCCATCTTCTTCAACCTTGTCTTGTGCGAAGCGAGCGAACATATATTCAAAACGGGCTGTAGCACTGCGCTTGACCTGTTCTTCGTGAACTTCGCGGGCTGCTGCGGCGGCGCACCAACTAGCGCAGACACGGAGTTGCTGAGGTCGTCGCTCGACGACCACTTCTTCAACGAAATCTTCAATGCACACTTCGGCGGCACCATGCTGCGTGCCCCTCTTCCAAGCGAGGCAATTTGGGGAGATGCCGTGGTTTGCGACCTCCGGGAGTCCTTGCAGGGCTTTGAGCTGCGCGAGGGCCACGTCTACCACCCTTGCCGGGTCGTCTTCCGCCAGGGGAAGCAAGGCCTCGTGGTGGAAGCCATCGTGACAGGAGGCGCCGGGAGCCCCGAGACGGCGTACCGCCCAGACACCGGCACCCCAGAGGAGTGCTCCAGCGCCATCAGTACCAGGAGCTGCACGGAAGAGGGGTGTATGGGTTCGGGGTCCGGGTTTTCCCATCTCGACTGGCACACATGTCCCTACCAGAGCTTGCTAGGAGCACCTGGTATATGGCCACATGGTCATGGAAACCTTCGTAGCGCTCGCCTACAAGCACCTCTCGCCCGAGCACTACGCTTTCAAGCTGCTGGGGCCGGTGAGCGGCGACGTGGGCTTCGTGAACCGCTCCTGGGGGATGGACCCGCGCAGTTTAAGCATGGTGGGATGGCCTAAGTGAAGGGTTGTACGCAGTATCATTCCGGAGTTGATGTGGGGGTTTCCGAAAATAGGGGACCCTAATATAGTACCCTAAATAGTAGGATCCTTCTTATAAGGACCCCAAAATAAGGTATCCCTAATTTCGGAAAGTCCCATGTAAACTGTAGACAATGAGAGTCTCGCAAACCACAGCATCGACTTGCAGAGCAGAGGTCGTTACCTAAGCGGCCGCATGACATAAACAGAGTTTGCCTGTATTAGGTAGTGCACCAGCTCGGTGTCCACAGTGTAAGGCCCACTCTTCTGCACCTGAAACCTGGCTTGGGCTGCTAAAGAGCCCCAGCAGGCCAGAGTGATTAATATGGAGGGGATGGAATAATTACCTATAGTATTCTGCATGGTTCCTAAATATGATTGTCGTCAGCTTTTGATAAATCCCAACACCTCATTCTAATCTAATGATTAAGGCCCCTAAACCCTCAACCCTAAACCCTAAACCCTTGTCTTGCTCACAGGATATGCTCGTGAACGGCACTGGGGAGCCCATCAACGCGTGGTGCATCGGGAAAGTGACGCCCAGGGCGCTGCTGTCCGAGGCGGACCTCCTCCTGCTTCTTTTGGGGGTTTAGGGGTTAGGGGTTAGGGTTTAGGGTTTAGTTGGGTGTCCTTTTTTCCTACTATTGGGCTTTAGTAAGGCTAAGGGGACCCAAAAAAGAAAAAGAGCAAAAGGGTCCTACTGGGAAACCTAGTGTATGTACTGCCTATAAACCCGGAATAAACCCCAAGCCCTAAGCCCTAAACCTAGGGTTTAGGGTTTAGGGTGCTTCGGTGCGTCTTTCTTCATATTACTCTAAACCCTAAACCCTAAAACCTTCAACCCATGGCTGGAGCCTATAGGCATCAGAGTTTCAGGGAGCCGGCCCTTGGGATCTGGGAACTGTGCCCGAAGCCATAGGTTTAGGGTTTAGGGTATAGGGTTTAGGGTTTAGGTTTAGGGGTTTAGGGTTTAGGGGTTTAGGGTTTAGGGTTGAGGGGTCCGGTTTAGGGTTTAGGGTTTAGGGTCGAGGGGGGTAAGCCCTAAACCCTAAATCCTAAACCCTGAAAGTGACAAACTCTTGGAATGCTTGAGATGACGAGGGCGCTTGCATGACCTCACTCACACCAACTTATTGTATAAAAGCATCATACCCTACTTGCTGAGGACTTCTTAAATAAAGAACCCTTAACACGGAGCCGTTTCTAGGTAGGTGTTGAGTGTCTGAGGCAGGGGTCTTGAGCCAGATCCTCCACGCGCAGCGAAGCTTCGAGGCCAGGAAGTCCTGGTTTTGGTTCGACGAGGGCGGCTACGAGACTCGGCTGCTCTTGGAGGTTGAGCCTCCGAGCCCTCAACAACCCCTAAGCCCTAACCGTTCCTGACTCCTCAACCCTACACCCCTAAACCCTAAACCTCTAAACCCCTAAACCCCTAAACCCCTAAACCCTAAATAGGCCCTAAACTTACACCCCTAAACCCTAAACCCCAAACTATAGCATGGTTGCATGCCAGGCTTCCGATCTTCAGGACTAATGGCATTCCATCCTTTGGAGCTAGTAGGCTCCTGGACCCTGTAAAACCTACCTTTTCTATAGGGTTTAGGGCTTAGGGGGGTCCGTGCCATGAGTTCTTTATAAAAATAAATCCTCAAAAAAGGGGCAGGTTATGATTATTTCGTTTATATTTGGTCCCCTGAATAGTAGGTTATGTAGAGTCCAGGTAAACCCTAAATCCCTGGGCAGTGCCTTTGCGGAAGGTGATCCATCCATCCATCTATCTATCTATAGATACATATACATAGGTGTGTATATATATATATATGTATGTACATGTATCAAGTTTTGTGGATGTAGATACACATGTACATCTGCATGCTCTACGCACGTACATGCATGCGGAAAAACCAATATTAGTCTGTTCTATTCTATTCTAGTCCAGTCTACTCTAGTCCATTCTCTGGTCTTTTTATTGTATTCCATGACACACCTAAACCCTGAACCCTGAACCCTAAACCCTGAACCCTAAACCCTAAACCCTAAGGTCATGGGAGGCTGCGGGGTCCAGGAGTCCACCCCCTTCGTGGTTCGTGACACGGCGCGGAGGTTCTTCGACGTCACCCTAGCCTGGACAAGTTCCGTGGTGGAAGCCTCTAGGTTGGAGTTTAGGGTTTAGTGTTTGAGGGGTTTAGGGCGGTTTAGGGATGTAGGGTTTAGGGTTCAGGGGTGTGCGGTTTGCAGGCTTTAGGAGCTTAGAGTCTGGGTTGAGGGTTTCCATTCTGCCCCTTGGTGCTTGCACTTCTGACTTTTTCTTGTTTGGAGGGTCTATCAACAACCGCTTCGTTCGTCCATGGAGCTTCTGCCTGTCCGCTAGCCAGCGATATGTGTGCGTCTTTCCTACACCCTACCCTAAACCCTAAACCCCTAAATTCCCTAAACCCTAAACCCTAAACCGTGGACCCTACTAGCCCCTGAACCTGCAGCCGTAAAACCCGAACCCTGAAACCCAAACCACCAAACCATTCGAACCCCGGAAGCCCCAAACCCTAAACCCTGCAGAACCCAAATCAGAAATCCCTACGCCCTCCAGAATGCCGTTCTTTCCCTGAGGGTCCATGTACCCAAATAGCAGATACTTTGGCCACATAGTTTCCTTCTATAGGGACCACTTCAAGGCCAAAGTATATACTAGTCTGGGTGCATGAACCCTTTGGGTTTGCGATTCAAGGCATTCTGGCAGGAGGAAGATCCTGCATTACGCTCCTGGTGGGAGGTGACTGAACTCGGCAGGGTGTTTAGGCCTATAGGGGTCCAAAACTTTGGTTGCGGATAGTAGTTATCTAGGTTAATCTTTGGAAGAGTAAATGATTATGAGGCCTTAAGGTAGGGGTTAAAGTGTAGAGTTTAGGGTGAGGGTTTAGGGTTTGTTCGAGCCCACTTGATTTTGGGTTTGGGGCTTTGAGTCTTAGAGGGTTTATCGGGCAACCTCCATGCGGTGTTTGTTTCGCTTTGAAGAGGAGGATATTGTTGTTTTCGTCATTCTGTGCAGAGCTAACCCTAAACCCTAAACCCAGCTCATGACCGGGGGCCACTCATATGCCCAAACATTGCAGCCAAAACGCCAAGCCCGTAGTCCCAACTGAGAGACACCCCGAAGCCAGAGCTCCTAAAGCAACCCCCTACACGGCACGAACTCCTAAACCCGAATATTTGATCCTCCAACCTTGTAAACTACGAGCATGCTACGCCAAGGCTTGCATGTCACCACTCTTGATTAAAGCCCTGGATTCCTTACACTTCCTCCAAAGCCGACCCGCAAACTCCTTTTCCGAAAATTGCGTACTCCTAAACCCTAAGAAAAGCAAGTCCAAACTCTGACTCTTAAACTTAAGGTCCTAAACCCTAAGAAAAGCAAGTCCAAACTCTTGAACTAGAACTCAGCGGGGGAGGCGATTTGGTGGAAGCAGATGCAGCCGGCGCGGCGCGATCTGTCTCGGGCCTCCTTGGCGCGGCTCCTAGGCGGCCTCGCGAAGCTCGCAGCCTTCGTCATGGAGGGTTTGAGGTCTTTAGCCGCCAGCGTCAGGTGTGTAGGAGCAAATCCTCAGCCCTTGAACCCCAAAGCCCTACTCTCTAAAGCCTAAACCCTAAACCCTGAGCCCTTTAACCCCAAACCCCCAATCCTAAGACCTCATCCCTGAAATCTTAAAACTCAAGACGCGGCCTTGAAAAATTCAGCCCGAAGAGCCCGAGACCCGAGACCCTCAGCTTCCTGAACACTGATGCTTAAGCCCGAAACCCTACCGGCCTTAAACCCTAAACCCTAAAGCTTAAACTCTGAAACTCTAAACCCTGAAGCTTAAACTCTAAACCCTAAAGCTTAAACTCTGAACCCTAAACCCTACAAGCCTTAAACCCTAAACCCTAAAGCTTCAACTCTAAACCCTAAACCCTAAAGCTTAAACTCTAAACCCTAAAGCT